GTCTACTTGTTCTTTGTTATCCAGCCTGTAACTAAGGTCATTGACAGTGGAAAGCAGCTGAGTCTCACAGCTGTGAGACTTCCTGAAACCATGTTGGCAGTTTGCAAGTATATTGTTATGGTCAAAGTGGTCCATCACACTCCTGAATATGATATGTTCCATGACTTTGCATGCCACACAGGTAAGGGATATTGGTCTGTAGTTTGCCGGGTCAGACCAATATCCCTTACCTGTGTGGCATGCGAGTGTGGCACTTTGACGAGTTTCGGCAGGTCTCTGGTTTATTGTGCGATTCTCTAAAGAGTTTCTGTTGATATCACGCACCCTGTCCGCCTGAGTGTACATGTACTTATTTATCAGGTCTCCATTGTCCGACCGACTGGGTTCACCTTCTAAAGCATTCATCTCTGCTTCAGTTTTTATGATCTCTGTCATAATTTGTTGATCTTCCAACTCCTGACGACGTCTCGTGAGTTCCGCCTCATTTCTTATCTTTTCGTCCGCCTTGAACTGAGCACGACGGGCAGCTTCTTCAGCTTTAAGCTTGCATATTTCTTGTTTTTTTGGAGAATTCTAGTTGTTTGGCTTCTCGCTCAGCATGAAGACTAGCTGCGCGAGCAGCCAGTTGAGTCTTCTTCGATGAGGTGGTAGAGGAGACAGCTGAAATATCTGTTCTAGCCGGCTCAAACCCAAAACAAAGTCTGTTTAATTCTTCTTTCAGGCGATCACTTTCTTGGCGTACCATGAAAGGTATAATTCCTTGATATTCTCCTCGCACGTTTTCATAAGCAATGTCAAGTTTGGACTTACTATCCTCAATAGAGCGAAGGAGTTTATTCGAAGTTGTTTCATCACAGATTTGGAGATTTACTCGCTCCACTGTTCTCATTGCACATTTGCAGTCTTCCACAACGCTCCAAAATTTATCAGTCGCCTTTCTTTCCATGTTATCTCTCACCTTCCAAGTAGGTTTAGATAGTCTCTGTGATCTTCTTAGATCGAATTGGTCACTTTTGGAATCCATTGCCAAACTTAAATCCGACTTACCAATGTTCTCATCACAACTGGGAGAGCGGAATTTGTACATATTTGTATCTCACCGTCATTCACTCTGATTGGATACTCACAACAAACAAGTTATGAAAATGAGATTTCTATGCAAATGTTACAATCAATCGCTTTCTCACAGACAAACATAACACCGATCAAATATAGTGACATATTCACACATTTACAAAGCATGAATCCTAACACACAAACATGAGCAGTGAAAGCAAATCAAAGCATAACACATCACATGTTCATACATATGTGATATACAACATATCACTACAGTGATACTATCAAAATGTTTGTTGTCAAAGTCACTCAGGATTCTGCACAACTGACACATCTATCGCTAGACTACAGCAGCGGTTATCAGTCACGCAAATGTAGCAATAAGTTGTATAGTCATTACTCGTCCGGCATGTCGTACGCAGTATCTGGATCGCAGTTCATACATGGTCATCAATCCATGGCCAAATACTTGGTGAAACATCAAGATCGAATTCGAAGTTACGGTCAGTTACAGTTCAGAATCACAAAGTTTAAAGTTACTGCTCGCCAATCGTGTAGACGCCATTCATGGATGTGGCCCTGGGGATCGTAAACACCGTGGATGTAGCCCTGGACGGCAGTAGTCGTTGACTGTAACGGCGGGTCGCAGGTTTCGAGATAATTCACAAGTAGAGCTATTGTCAGCACGGGTCTCGTTTATTGACCGCCAACTGTAACACATGTATACACAAACATATAATACCAAGTACAAACATATATATGATTACACACGAGAAAACAAGTACATTTCGCTAAATTTCTAAATTTCACATTCATATTCCTATATTCATAACTCGTAGTCATACACGTATTTCGCATTTCGTATTCGTAGTTCGTACTTCGTATTTCTTAAGTCAGTAATTGAAATAGAACACTAATTTTGACTAGAATATGACTATAAACATGACATGTACACACATACACTCATTATTACGCATGTACGTTCCAGCACACGTGCACTAGCACGCATGTACACACACTGGCACACACGTGCACACGTTACACATACATATGTGCACATATTTGCATAATATGTGTACATTACATTTTACATGTTGAGAAACGAAAAATACGTGGGATATGTTACGTGTTACTGTACACACAAAGAAAAGGCTGAACACTGAGCTTGACTAGGTAGTGCCAGGTGGCTGTACTGAGAAAGTAAGAGAGAGCACCTGGCACGTGTTGGTGGTATATATACTAGCCCAGTGACCATAGCTCCACCTGTGGGCCGACATAGTTCAAATCTATTATCACGTAACATCTTTCCCATTATACAAATGAGATTCTTACAACTGTCAAATTATACACGTGTGTCAATACTGACATCGAATTATCGGCTAAACGTACATGTCTCTAAGTGTATCTATCACTCTTAAATCCTAACCAATAACGTAATACTGGGGGACCGTTACTGATATTGCTACGCTGAACAATGATAACGATTACAAATTTAGGCGCTCCACTTTCTTCATGCTTCTTCCTGATCTCGTACGGTATGCAGCGTTTCCTTTCTCCGCGGTTGTCGAATCTGTAGCACCTGACTCTGAACGCTCCGTAGCTTCCACCGTTGGATGCTCTAGGTGGATCTGCTTGGAGCATGTTGCCACTGGTCTGCCAACACTGGTTGCCAGACCAGGATGCCGCTGGTCCGGTACTTGCCCGGGTGGATGCCGTGACGCTCGTTGATCGTCATCTGCCCGAGAGATAAAGAGAAACTGCCTGTTCTTTTTATAGCGTTGTCCATCTGGTGCTGTCACCTCATACCTTCGACTGTTAAGCTGCTGCGTGACAGTCGCACCTTTCCATTCGCGGTGACCTCTATGAATAGGTTGCATCCTTACATGTTCGCCTACTCTGAGGGGTTTCAAGACCTTTCTCCCTCGATTGAGACGATCTTCTACTTCCCATATCCTGTCTTCCATCCTGTACCTCTCAGCTTTCCCGGGGTCATGACGCATCGGTTCTAGCTTGCGGGTAGTTGTCGGAATGAGCGTTTTTGTTTGCCTACCAAAGTCTTTGTACCGGACTGGTCAAAATTCCTTCTGTCGGAGTATTTCTCCAGTTCAACAGCCCTATGAAGGGATCCTCTTTAGATGTTTTACACTTTTTCATCATTCTCTTGGCTATTTTTACTGCAGCCTCCGCAGCCCTGTTAGCCTTGCTATTTCCTG